ACTCACTCACTCACTCACGTGTCAGTCGTAACCACATTTTACATTTAACGATGTGGTAACTTCGCATTATTGACGTAACTACCCTTCGCCTGCCACCCTATAGGTAGGCAACCTATACGGCAGCCAAGAATGATTGCTTGTAAGGTAGGGGCCTGGTAGGGATATGAGGAAACGCTTCAACATATACCTCTGACTATTATTTATCTCAGTTATTGTATATCGGTTTATTGAATTTTGTAGTAACATTCGCGCGTAATCAAGCACGAGATATTTCTGGCCAACCGGCCGCTCTAACTACTCATTTGCTCTGGACCGTCTTCGTTGATCTATCGTAATCCAAACTGCACATATTCCCTCGTTCTGTGTCGTTCGCGCAGTTTACGTTTTCAAATTCAAATCGATGAATACTCCTTTCAAAGAATTTGAAGGTTGCCATCAAACAGCATAGTCATTTTTTCCAGGATACTGCTGGTCTGGCGAATATTTGAAAATATAGTAATCCGATGTTTACTTTTATGTTGAAATAAGATGTCATTGGTGATGGTTGTGTATGTTCATGTGAGACAAAGGAAAATTATTTTTACACATTAACAATAACAAAGATTACCAGACTTAAAAAATATATATTTCTTCCGATTGAGTCACTTACCGGTAGACACCCAGGTTAGTGATAGGTACGAAAATGAGATGTTTTTGAGTAGTTATGTAGACTTGAAGTTAGCGAGGTGGTGAACGAACTAGTGTAAAAAGTAAAGTTGTGGTCATACAAAACCATATAATTCCTCACATCATTTGAAACAATTTCCGAACATTCAGGGAGTTAAATGAAAAGCGAACCTGCAACATTTTTAAAAACGCACTTCTCTCTACCCAAGAGGAAAATGAAAAAGTATTGTTTTTAAAATTCTCTTTGCTTGCCGCAAAAGTACCTAAAACTGCTCATATTTTCAAAAATGGTGTACGACTTTATTTAAAAATGAAAATTTAGAAAAACCATCTATTAGGAAAAAACTTTCTATCTACAGTATTGTTGTAAAAAGGCGCTGAAAAAGTTTCAAAATTCACAGAAGTCGAGAAAAACGTGCCTGTTTTTAAGCCACTGTGTGAGAACAAGATTGAATCCAACGTTTGGATCCATCTTTGAGAAAGTTATACTGTGCTTTCACAGGAGAAATATTTTTGTCAATTCATAAAACACACTAACATTTGTAACCAGTGGATTAAAATCAAGATTACAAACACGGCTACTCAAAAGCGGAAGTCTCTTAATTATTGAAACTCGAGATATTTACGAGAATACTGGTGTAAGAAATTATTTTTATATGGATACTGTATGTTATAGAGAATATTGGGGGGGGTGGGATGAAGCAAACAGTTTTCTTAAAAGGAGTTGTTGAAAGGAGGAGGTCGGGAATCGCCGCTTGGAAGGAAGTCGGGAATCGCCGCTTGGAAGGAAGTCGGGAATCGCCGCTTGGAAGGAAGTCGGGAATCGCTTCGGGCTCAGCGAAGCCGCACCTGCGAAAGGCGCTGCGCTCGGGCGTCGCGCGTGGCGTGCGCTGACGCACTCGCGATGCGCGTGTGCGAGTGGAAGGGGGAAGTGTGTTCGCGGCGGCGCACAATGGTCATCGTGCGGACTGGGCACGAGGGGGGAAGAACCTCTGGCTACGAGAGAAGGAAGTTTCCGCCGGCAGATGCGATGAAGATCGACTCCTGGTGTAGGGGTCACATTAGGCTCGGTCCACGTCTGTTCAACTCAGTTTGATCCACTTGCGATTGGTGGTGGGCGAAATGAATTGGCGGTAGGTTTCCTCTGCTGCTTCCTCCACTAGTGTTCCTATGTTCAAAGGTGCGACACACCAGGCGAATGCCGGAGCAATACCGTAACAAAACGGGCTACGGACCGCGTGGTCCTCACTCCTTATTTACACACACTTACACTAACATCCACTGTACATCCACACATGTCAGGAGACTGGCCCGGAGATAAGAGCTTGTCATGGCTGGGACGATGCCCTGCTGGTGGGAGATACCTAAAATATTTCTGAACAGATCCCAATGAAGAGTTTCAAAAAGATATTTCAATTAATTAAATATTATATTATTTAAATCGTTAATATAATTAAATCGTCCAGAATCCGGTTTATAGTAAAGAAATTGAATAATTGCAGTATTTTGTTTAATCAAATAATTTATTAACAGAAAGATCGCTAGAAGCCACCAAAAGAGGGCGGATATGAAATTCTTGTAAGTTAAAAATTATGAAATTTTAAAATCATGTAGACTTATCTGAGAACGCTTCTTGCAGAATAGAAGACCAAAAGTTATTTTGAAATTATGCAATGGGCAGAATATGAAATAGGAAATTAATGCTTTATTTTTTTATATATTCGAACACATTGCGTAATGTTGTACATAGCACGTGAAAAGTTTTTTTAGGTTCAGTGACTTTAATATATAATACAAATAGCTATAAATTTAAACCAATACTAACATCAGTGCGAGATCTCTCACATGTGGAAACCTGACCTCTTTTCCCTATTATCCTTAAGAAGGGAACATACGGTGCTACGAATCACGTTTCTATTGAATTCGAGATATTACACGCACGAACATTCTACATCACACATACATTCTAAGTTATTCCACAGAGCGGGTGTTTCTAGAAGAGCCGAGCCCTCAAAAATGTATTGGGTCCCAAAGATTACATTTTATAAATTACTATGTGCGTTAAGAACATGTCCTGGGAAGAGTTTTGAATATACCGTGTTTAGTCCCTAGTATTTTAGACAGTAAAGAAGGTCTGTTGATTGGTATAAAATAAAAACAGAGATGCATTTCCACATATTTACGTTCTATGAAACATTTGGAAAAAGCATCTATGGTATTGTTTACAATACCATGGATTACCACAAGATATCTGCTACCACCATGGAATTTAAAAGCATCTATGTTAGATTTTCAAACTAAACAATAGACATTGTGTGCATTGTTGAAATAATCGGGAGAAACTGCTATGCATTCAAATATCTAAACGACAGTAATAAAATAGCAAGGCCAAAGTATTGAATGCAAGAGTTCCGCCCACGCGTTGCGTCGTTCCAACCGGCGAGCGGCGGCGGGGGCGGCGGGCGAACGGGCGACGTCGCGTGAGTGTGGGGGATTCCGTTACTTCCGGAACCTCCGCGTAGCGCGACTTCTCTGAGCGGAAGTGGTGGGGGGTGGAGGTGGGTGGAGGTTGCGTAGCGCGGCGGAACATTTCTGCAAAGTCTGCACGTGCGAGCACAGTTTATTCCTGATTCAAGCACTTCCTCGTCTACCTCGGAGTCCTCCTTGATCGCCGCCTCCACTGGAAAACGCAGGCTTGCCCTAGCCTCATGAAGAACTCGATAACTATTCCCAATTGTACGTCGATCACTTCAAATCCATGCCGGTACAAGTCTTCACAAAGTTTTGATCAGATCAATGCTAACTTAGGCAAGTCCAATCTAGGGCTCAGCATTCAAATCCATTGCCTCCAGACCGTCCTAAATAGTTTTCTAGGGACCATAACCAAAGCACTCTAGTTCATACCGAATGACCTTCGTCAAGATGTTGGTATACCCCCGTCACATCAAACAATCCGCTCTCAAGTTTTATAAAAAACCCTTCAATCTCACCAGCTCTCTACTGCCAATTAGGGAAATAAACCCCAAACAGAGTACTAATCAGCAGGAAACTACCCAGGCACTTTTTACCCATTTTAAACCCCTCGCTAGTATACTTCCTCGAAATAATTTTTATACAGTAAATCTGTATCGATTGTAGTCAAACCCGTTGCAAAAAGGTTGTACATCTGAAAGCAAATGAGTTGCGCAAGCAAAGTACTTCCTCTGACGGAGAGGACTGTCGATTCATTCGAATGACGGATTCTTCACGCTTGGCGGAAAATTACTTACAACAGACTCGATTATCCGCGTCTCGATTAACCGAGGAAACGACAATACAATTCACTCAGTAACTCGGTAACTTCTACAACGGTTGCGCAGTATCGTCGCATCCTAGATATACTAGAAGGTATTTTAGGAAAGTTTCCATGACTTTTTTGAAAATAATTGTCCTAAAGTAAAATATGTTCATTTAATTAAAGATGTTTTTATTGATTATATGTTCCACTGTTAATGCGCATAAATACAAATGTACTTGTTATTTAACATAGAAACTTCAAAGGCGCATTTTATCCCTTTTTCAATGTATTAGAGATGTAAAGAGCATATAAATTTGTTCGTGTCCGCGGTAATTGCGGGTCTCAGTTACCTCTGAAAATCGGGAATCGAATGAATGAGGAAACCGTCAGTGTTCCAAGGTATTCTTCATTTTGTTTTCCGACTTCTTGAAAACCCTCTAGTCAGGACCACAACCTCATAAACTACATTTTCATTTATTTAAAAAAATATGTCAAATACTTTTGATGGCCAAAAGTGCTGTACTCATATTTCAATTAATATCAGTGTCGTAAACTAAATGCATCCTAAACAGCCTTGTTTTTATTTGATATAGTGCTATTATTACATGAAATATTATAAGAGTATCTCGTTTTATGTAGTGTTATAAAGGTGCCAGGAGAATGTATTGTAAATTGAGTTTAAAGTTTTTGCCTGCCCTTGTACATCATTCTTCATTTTATGTTTGCTTATTTATAGCGTAAGTTGAGCTTTAAGTGTTTTGTTTGATTTTATACTTTATTTATTTGTTCTTGTTAGAATGTTTTTTACATTGTAAGTTGAATTTTAGGTTTATATGTATTTTTTATTATACACCAAGTTTTTATCTCGTTTTTTGTTCGTTTCTAGTAAGAAAATATAACTTACGGATTCAGGTTCGCAAACAGGTTGTAATCTCTTGGAAGTACAATGTCCGTAACCAACACGTCATATCTAACATTGTGCAACATTTTACCTTTAATATAATACACCTGAATAAAAATAGTATTGTTTTTATTAACTTCTTTATATTGTTCTCAGGTTGGTGATTGCTGAATAGCCTTCAATTTCTTGCCCGCAGAGGCAGGGACTGGTAGCAGTGACGCAACAGAGATCTAATGGTGAGTGTAGACTAGATTCTCGTAGTTTTACTGACTTGGTGTTAATGTACAGTCGTGTCTTTTTTTGCAAATTAGTGAATATCACAAATAAAATATAAGACTATGACTTTATTTCAATGGCTTGACATTTATAAGTTACGAAGATTTCTTTTTGAATATGTTAACGATTTTTATGAATGTCTGTAATGAAAATTTCAACTTTTCAGTCTGTTAAAAAAAAATTAAATTCACAACAGGAAGCAAAAGTGCATTTAATAAACCCAATCGCTTCCCAGTGCAGCAAGCCAAGAAGGTTAAAAACAAGAACACACTGAAAAAATACATCCTAATTAAGTAATTAAGTTGAACGATGGTCAGTCATCTTTAAAATTCCACATTGGTTGTACTACGTTCTGTAATACTTTTTGAAGATGAAAAATCAGTTAATATATACTCTCGAGTGACTGTAGTATATGGTGGAAGTTGTATGAACTGCAGGAATCTTTACAAGTGGGTAGAATTGTTCAAAAGTGGTCGACACTCAGTGATGACGAACACTGTAAAGCAGGAAAAGTAATTTTGACGGTGTTTAGTGACGCTGAAGATGCGGTTGCTTGTGATTTTCTCGAAGAATAGCGTTCAATAGAGTCAATACTACTCAGATATGCTTTTGAACATGGTGGTTCTCTAATTATTGAATGCCCCTCGTACTTACTACGGCCAACCGGACAACTGCATCTCGAAAGTTTTTTTTGTACTTTAGAACTTGCCTATAGTACGATTTATTTAGTCGTGCACATGGCAGAAATCAGCGGTTGCGATTCCATCCAATTGGGAGTTTGTTTGTCTCTTCAGTGGCGTCACTATGGGGACGTTCAAGCTCCCGATTGGATGAAACAGCGAACAGCTGATTTACATCAAGTGCACAATTAAATAAATCCTAGTATAATAGAACTGTTCAACATACGAACATATTTTCGAAAAGTCACCGACGACACTTTCAGCTAGTTTTATATTAGCAAGAAAGTACATACATATTTTGAACATTATTGTGAAAATGTAACGAATCAGCAAATATGGGGGGAGGGCAAAAACCCAATTCCACCCCCTCCGGGAGCTAAACCTTGGTTCCAGTAACATTCAAATCTTTTGAACAGTGGCATATTTGCGAAACATTAAATTGTATGGATAAGGTATTCAATTACTCAGATTGATAAAATGTATTTTAATAATGCATCAAGATGATCTAATTGGTATGTAATTAAATTACCACATTGCAGCAACAGTGCTAACGAAGCTAACGCAGAAACGGATATCCATATTTTTGTAAAAATTTAACATAGTTGCATATCTTAAAAGAAATGTCACATTGAATTTACGATGCAGTATCATATATGACGTCGAGTCAAAATTCTGTTGGCTATACTAGCATTAATGTCAAGCGGGCAACCCAGCGAAGTGGTAGAAATGAAGACATTTATCGTGTATGTATTATTTTGGTGTCTGTGATGTTTCCAATCTATTTTTGTCTCCAAGTGCAGTATTAATATTTATTTGGAGGGGGATACCATGAAATGAGCACATTATTTAAAGTAAATGTGGTTGGTGAAGTGTAAGGCCTTAATGAGAAGTTTTGCAGCAGTTCTATTTGGTTTTAATTTAATTTTTAATTTGAATGAGCATCTGCCTATTAGGTTTGGACATAATTACGGTCGTTTTTAATGCTGATAAAAGTGTGGTTGGATGCGAAAAGTAATGCATAATCTGCAAAGTGGGTTGTTTTTACATGTGAGTGTCTGGGGATGACTTCTACATATACATAGAATCATGTGGGTGAAAGGTGAAATCCTTGTCCTAATCCTACTTTGATTAATATGGGATTTGAATGATGATTGTTCATTGTTACTGAAAATGTTCTGTTGGATAAATAGATTTGAATTATTGAAGTGGCGTATTGTGGAGCACATATTTTCTTTAGTTTGTATTTTAGCTCTTGATCTAATGCCTACGGTATGTCAAGTGATGTGAATATTGAATGTTTTTCCTCTGAAATGCTGTATGGTAATGTTCAGTAATTCTGAGAAGTTGATATTGTTTGGAACTATATTTTGAAAAATTAAATTGAAGTGAAGAAAATCATAGCTTTGATTTTACTTTCTATTGTTGGAATATGCATAAAAAAGCGAATATTCAAGGCACTTCAGATCATGTCGTGTACCAGGTTGGAAATAAATAGTGCATTTGCTTCATTTACCTGTATTTCTTAGCTTTTGAGAAACCTAGGAGTGACCGGTTTGTACAGACGTCAACACCAGTGAATAGGCTGCAGTTCATTCGCAAACAGAGGTTGGTGGGATGCACAGAAAAACCGCAACCCTACCTATCTGTAGTACTGCCTTATTCACCATGCTTCGGTTTCATCTTAAAGGCAGAGATTGTTACAAGAAATATAATTACATAAAGCGACCGTCGAGAATATGAAAAATACTGTTTCTCGGCTCTCAAGCCATTTTCTAAAACTTGGATAGTCGGTTTGTTAAGTTTAGCTCACGTAGTTGAAGGTTTTGCTACCCTTGAACGTTCGAGGTCCTTTGAAACACAGAATGGCGCAAAATGATGAACGCGTGAGAGTGGAACGTTAAAGATGAAAGATGACGCAACGAAGAGGGACGTAAGACAAATGAAGAAAACGGAAAATTCTCTGTGAAATGAGCTAGGAACGTGACTAACATGGGTCTTGGGGTCGTTGCGTCATAAATGGTGTTGCTTCATTCGCGTCTCCGAAGATTAATGCTTTGAGGAACTGATTAGATGACGTAGCTGATGGAAGATAAATATAATGCCTAACCTCGGAAGTCGTTGTGGATGGCAGAAGGTAGTGATTTGTATGTTAGAATAAAATTAATGACGTGAGGAAAGAGTCATCTTAAAACAAGTAGACATCGGCGGGGAGAATCGCGTGCACATTTCTGGCCTTGAGTTACGTACTTGAAGGCCGAGCATTCACACGTTCGAGTCGAAAGGTAACTGATACGTAGGTATTTTTGTGTGGATGTGCGGGTGATGTCAGTACTATTCAATTCAAATAATACTCTAGGAACTTGCTTGAAGTGTCAATAGAATAGTTGTGATTTTGAAGTATAAAAAGCGTGTTACGTTATATAACAATAACATATCACCTCTAATTTATTTAACGTGAACTGAATGCCAGGAAGGTGTTTTTTCTACTCGCACTTATTTAATTAAAAGAAGACATGCTAGTAAATTTCATCATTCTTATTTGCAGAACCATTAGTAGAGCATGTAGTTCTGGAACGACCTATAGTGAACATATTTATAGAAATATTAAGTTTCAATTAATTACAGCTGGCTACACAAATGAAAAACTTTATTAAAATAGTTTCTCAAATATAATGGATATATTGTGTGTAAATATTCTCATTGTCCTGTTTTTCAAGTACGTAGTATTTCGAAGAACAATTGATACACAGTCAAACGCTTTGATAAAGATGAATGTTATAGGAACATATTGTCAAATCAACTTCAATACTCACGAATGATGATCAACAAATAGACGTATTAAATGTGATTGGAAGAAGGCTCATGTCACAAGTTGAATTATAAATTGAAGAAAATATTGGCATGACGTGATAACAGAAAATATTCGCTGTAGCTGTAGATATTTGAAAGGGCAACATAATTAATTTTCTAGTTGTTAATGGAACTGCAATAAATGGAGTCGAAACAATCAAACCCTGTACTCTAGTACACTGAGCGGAAACAGAACTCAGGAAACTTTTCGCAGATAGTTCTGATGCGGACTGCAATGCTGCTATAGAACCTGGGTGGACGCGATGGTCGAATCCACAGAATACAAGAAGAGAGATGTAGATGTCTTGCAAATGCATCAGGAGGAAAATCGTCTTGAACGGACGGTAGTTAGATTGATGTAGAAGCGTGTTCGTACAAGGATCTTTTGCGCGAGGCGTCCGGAAAACGTTCGTGTTGTAAACATTCCTCGCTGTGGTCGATGGCCTCAAGCGCTGTCGTTTTACCTCGCTGCAACCTCGTCAGCGTCTGATGCGGCGTAGCGCCGAGCTAGGAGGGGGATGCGAGTGTGGAATCTTTGCAGAGGAGTTCAGAATGGACGGGGTGCAGCTTAGGCCGCTTCACCAGACCCCGAATTAATTAGAGGATATATTATTTTTGTTTTTTCATTCAAAGCATAAAAATATTATATACTTTTAATTCAAATTACCCAATTATATTCCTCATTTAAGTTAAGTAAGTAAAAGGACTCGCATTACGTTTACGGGTAAGGAGGCGAATATGATGAGTAAAGCTCGGCAGTTCTGACATTTATTTTACCTAAAATAGGCATTTAAAAAGGCATTTATTCTTGTGAAAGTAGGAAGCAAATAGGCATGTAAACATTGAATAATCACATTTAAAAGGTATTATTGTATAAACTTAATTAAAATGATTGACATTTTTATTCTAACTCTAAAATTTACATTAGCACTAGACTTGTAAGGAAACGATCTTTTCTTTGAAACTTGAATTCCACATCGCTATCGGCAGAGTTGGGCAGTATCGAAAATACATGTATTTAAACCGCTCGCGTTATTTTAGTACTTTTCCTTGCTGTATACCAGTGCCCTGTTGGTTTACGGTTTAAGTTTGTGGTTTACGGAATAATGGCATTAAGGAAGGGGGCCTCTGATGCTGAGACTGGCATGCAATGAATTTTTTTGGAAGTTTCAGAAATACATTGAACTAACAATTTAACAGTTTTCTTCGAGACATGCTCATTTTCACAACATTAGTGATTATTATTTAAACTTATAAATACGTGTGTACTTACCTATTTGTAAAATAACTAGGCGCACCTTTCCTTGCTCGTAGTAAATTTTGTGATAACTTTCATTAAAGTTTGCTATTTGCATAAGGAAGTCCGCTCGATAGATAGCATGGCAATAGCTGATATTGTATCTTCTGCCATTGTATTGCACAGGTATGCA